TGTGTCCCAGTGGTCTGGCAGGGAGGAGAGTGAATGTAGGTGGGTAACATCCTGGTCACAGGAAACATCGTCCATTTTCTGAAACATAGCTCCACAAAGTAGGAGAGCTGTAAACATGCCAGTCCCTCTTCTCTGTCTTTTCATAGCTGTGGCTCTCCTGTGTACCAACAGCAGTGTTCTTTTTGCACGGTGTCTGGCTCAGTCTCCTGAAATCCTTCGATCAATCAACATTCTTGCTAGTGCTGGATATTACATTCTCTTTGAACATCCCCCTCGGTTTTATATATTCCGTTCCCCTTTGAAATGGAAGAAATTTCAAGAAATAGGCCAGTATCAGCCCTGTGCCTTTGGAATTCAAGAATTCTTAGAAGAAAGGAAAAGAGTGAAATGGAGCTAGTTATCAATAACTGTTCTGTGAAACCTAACTACAGATGTGGGTAACCGTGTTTGCTGACAAGTAGGGAGGGGTGGAGAAAATAAGAGTATTTATACTCAACAGGAGACAGATGGGCTGCTGCTGTGGGAAGCTAGTTTGGATGCAGTACCCAAATATAGTGAGAGCATGCACAACGGAAATGTAAAACTGTCCCAAGTTCCAGGATGCTTTAGAAGCTTACTTTAGCGATTGTAGTTCATCGAACAGTTCTTTCAAACTAAGTTCTTTACTTGCTCAAAACATGGTTTTTAACCAGGTGTAGTGGCTGTGTGTATGCTATGTGTAATCCTTGGTACTCAAGAGGATGAGATCTGAGGATTGTGGTTCCAAGCCAGTCTGGGCAGGAAAATCCATGAGACTTCAATCCTCCAATTAACCACCAAAAAAAGCTGCAAGTGGAGCTGTGGCTCAAGTGGTAGAGAGCTAGCCTTGAGTGAGAAAGCTAAGGGGTAGTACCCTGGTCCTGAGTTCAAGTCCTTAGTACAGGCACACATACATAAAAACAAACAAAAATATTGCTTTTGCATGTGTGGAGATTAAAGTTGGTTGATATCTTTTTTCCAAGAATCTAGTTAGAAATTCAATTAAAATGACAATTATGGATCTAGACATGATGAGTTTTCAGATGATAGCAACTGTAACTGATAGCTAATTGTAACTGCTTTCACTGTTAGGTTTAAACTTGTGCTCCCAGATTCATGACATATATAGTATCTTGATTAACTTTCCGTCATGAGGCTGAGAGAATAGCTACCGCACATGCTTAGCATGCAAGTGGCTCTAAGTTCCAACCCTTAGTTTAAAAAGACAACAATACTTAGATACATACAATCTCAGTCTTAAAAAATGTATGTAGAATATTTTTAGATGTGCATAAAGATAGTTATTTGATTTTAGCTTTACAGCAGAGCATACAATTTTGTTATAGGATGTGCATAAAGGTAGTTTTTTTTTTTAGCTTAATAGCATACAATTAAAGGGAGCCAAAATATCACCTGGCAGCTCAAAGCAAGTCTTTTAATATTTGTGTTAATTGTCTAGATTCATACTGATGGTGGATGAAGGGTGACTGGGGATGAGGGGAAGTACTTAGTTCTCATGAGAAGCAAGGGTGAGCCATGGCAGAATTTTCAGGATGGAATAATCAGGAAAAAGGAAACAGTTCTACTATGGATATTGTTCATGGCATATGAAAACTACCAGGTGTTGCCTGCAGAATGTTTTCCCAGGGAGAAGGTAAGATTCTAGAATTAAGAAAGACAGCAGAGAAAGCCACATTCACACAATTACATGTATGTCCAGTTGTTCTCTAGATTAGCAATAGGTTCTTGGCTTGTTGTATATATAGCTTAACTTGAATCATATTTATTTTTTAATTGTTATAGGTTTTCAGCAAGTAAAACACAAAACCACATTTTGAGTAGTTGACATTTTAGCAATTATGGAAGACAATAAATAAAATTAATGTATAAAATCAAGCTAAGCACACACATGCTCTTTTTTGTTCTCTCTCTGGTTTGGCCTGGATAACTTAATCCATAAGTGTGGATTCAGTGTTGGCTAAGAACTGTCATACCCATAATCATATTGTAGGTACATCTTGCTGCCTGCGCTTCATATTGAACAAAACCAGAGAGATTAAAACGTTTAACTAAAGTCATAGTCTTGATTTTATTTTTACGGAGATTGGATTTGCACCCAGGTCTTCTGATTCGAGCATGAATGATCTGTCTGCAGCCCCAAACAGCCAAATGGATAAGTGAATCTCTGAGCAATTAAAAAAAATTCTGTAAGTTTTGACACTAAAAATGAAGGAACATATTCTAGAATTGAAAGAATGTGTTTTGCCGAGTTCATAAAATCACACACAGAATATAATGTGTCTCTGCCTTTACATATTTTAAAGACAATAACCTTTTCATAAACCAATAATAAATAATTTCATATACTAACATTGCATTTCAAAAGAAAAGTTCCCTAGTCAAAATATTTAAAATACATTAAAATTGAAGGGGTAAGAAACAACTTGACTTGTAAAGCCCTTAATTTAGGAGTAAGTGGAGATTATGGTGATTGAAGCCAAGGGGACATACACACACACACATATGTACACTAAATTTTCAGAAGTTTAGTATAAAAACTATATATATATATATATATATAACTATATAGATAGTTATATATACATATATATAACTATATATATATACACACACATATATATAACTCTCTCTATATGTATTTGCAAAAAGCTATGAAGGTTATTTAAGTCAAAGAAACAAAGGCTCTCCTCAGGCTAGAGGGGGCTCTTATTTTGTCTTGAGATGGTGAAACTGACAGCAAGGACTCAGTCAGTCAAGGAAGATGGAAATGATAGATGTGCATTTGATGAAAACCAGGTTCTTCCTCCCTCTCCTCTTCCTTCCTGGCCCCTGTTCTCTCCCCGCACAGGGCAGGAAACGTGGCAGGAGTACATGGGCAGGCTCTTCCCTGGCAAGTAGAAGAAATTTCAAGCCACCACCTCTATACCTGTACTTTATACTTCTAAGTGAGCAGCCCATCTTCCCTACAAATTTACTCTTTTGTAAAGAATAAGTAAGAGTAAAAGTAAATAGATTTTGCCTTTAGATGTAGCTCACAGACTAGATTTAAAGGTAACCGTTTGCCACTATCATCAGACATGAGATGGCCTCATTTTTTAAGTATTTTGTTCTTGAAAGGGTCTGTTTATAGCAGAGAGGCCTGCAGGGGACACATAGGTCAGGAGAGTGAATCGAGCCTGAGGTGCTTATTTACTTGAGAATTGCTGCCAGATGAATGGTTTCAGAAAGCTGAGGCAGCTGATGTGGTCACATGGTTCAGGATAGGAGGGAACAGTTTCTCTTCTCCTATGTCAATTATCTGCTGGGAGGCAGATAATACGTGTGTGTGTTTCCCTTTTCTGCTGGGGAAATTGCAAGTAACAGAAGAACATCCTGTGACCAGCTCTGTGGAGGAGAAGTTGAAGGGCAGATGGATGAAGTAGGAGAGACGGGGGATCTGCCTCCATGTCATGTTTGCACTAGGACTAAATTCTTGGCATTGGAGAACGATTTCATCCACAGATAATTAACTCAGAGTAAATAAGGAGTGTTTGGGACAGAAGGAAGTGAGCTCTGTTGTCAGCAGCTTGTAATGTAAAAAGCAGCCCTTCCAGCAATGCACCTGTCCGTGGTAGTTCATGCTGGTAATCTAGCTACTCTGAATGAGATCTGAGGATTGTAGTTTGAAGCCAGCCCAGGCAGAAAAGTTGAGGAGACTCTTTATCCCCAGCTAACTAGCAAAAAGTTCATGGGGGAGGGATGGTTCACGTGGTAGAGAGCCTTGAGTGAAAAATGCCAAACAAGAGTGTAAAGCCCTGATTTCAAGTCCCAGTAATGGGACACACACACACACACACACACACACACACACACACACACACACACACACACACACACACACACACACACACACACACACACACACACACCCATCTCTTTCCATCAAAGTGGGCCTGAATTATTTCACATGCCTTCATTTTATTTTATGAAGTTAGTACTGATGCTGGAAGGAGTCCAGGGACAGCAAGTTTATGTAATTTCAGATACCTGCGCATCAGAATTAGCAGCTCTTTCTTTTCATCACATCCAGTGCTGTGATAAATGACTCTCCCAGTTCCACATCTGCTAATCTGCTTAGCCACCTTCCTCTCCTGCTCTCCTCTAGGCTCTCCCATCCCCCACCCTCTCTCCAGTACCAAGGTTTCAACTCAAGGCCTCTCACTTGCTATGCCAGACACTCTACCATTTGAGCCACAGCTGCAGCCCCTGGGGCCAATGTCTCACTGGTCATCTCTCACTTAGTGGCACCAGCTAAGGACCAAGACCATAAGACGTACATATTTAGGGATAGTTAAGATTTAAACTGTAGCAACAGCAGCTTTACGTTGCCCTTGGTTGAGAAGGCATGTTGTCTGCTTTCCTGGCTGGTCCAAGGGCTCAGCTTCTGCGGAGAGATTCATATTTTTCCTTGTGCTGGGCAAAGTTGTTTCAGTCAGAACTGCCCATCTGTTTGTTTATAACGGGTACATAGTAATTGTCCAGAGATTTGGTCTGCAGGATAATAATTTGACATTTTTATGCGAAGTGTTATGAGCAAATAAGGGTCCTTAGTATCTCCCCCATTGTCAATATTTATGATGCTTTTGTGTTGGAAACCTTTGAACTCTTTAAGAGCTGCTTTGAAATACTTAGTTAATAAGTTGTAAAGGATTGCTATAGGATACTAGATTTTATTCCTGCTATCTAACTTTTTTTGGTGTTAATTACCCTGTTTTTGTCCCCTGCCTTGTTATTTTGTTTTTAATTTTGTTTTCTTATACACTTGTAATTTGTGTCATTGTAGACACATAAAATGTATCGGGCTTGTATTTGTAAATATCTTCTCTGATCACTTTGTTTTCCTTTCGTGTTAAGAGTTCCCTAGCATACAGTGTGCAGAGGCCTTTCTGTTTATATGTGTTCTTATTGTATTGTCTTTGCAGTCGAAATCAGCTGTCTGCCCTGCCTGCCTGCCTGTGTGGTCTGCCTCTGAAAGTCTTAATCGCAAGTAACAACAAGCTTGGATCACTGCCAGAAGAGATAGGTCAGCTCAAACAGTTAATGGAGTTGGTATGTTGCTGATTTCTAAGATGCTCTTTTTGTTCATGAACTGATCTTAACTTGCCAGAGTACCAGAAAGACTTTTTGGCTATAATCGAAGGAGGAACTTGCACTAGTCTGTTTCCCATTACAATGACAAACTATCTGAGGCTGGGAACTTGATAAAGGAAAAAGAAAGTTTATTTAGCGTTTAGTTTTGGAGGCAGAAAGTCCACGATCAGGTGGCTTTATTTGTGAGGCCTTTGAGAGAGGCCCACTGAAGAAGGCTGAATCATACATCGTACCACAGCTATCGCACCCTCCTCGGATCAAATGTGAGAAGGAGGGATCACATGGGAAGACAGGAAGCCAAAAAGCAAAAAGGAAGAGGCAACCATAACAACCCATATTCATGGGAAATTTCTTAAGTCCCTTGAGAACTATGTTAATCCCTTCTGAGAGTCATGCCCCTAGTGATCTAACCATCTTCCATTAGGCTCTTTCTTTTAAAGATACCACTCCCTCTTAATACCATCAAATGATTAGTATGCTTCCAATACTTGACCAAATCATGTTCACTTGGTAGCAGAGCCTAAGTTGTTTGAGGGCAGCATATGAAGAAGACATTGGAGGGGGGAGGGGATATGACCCAGTAGCTGTGGCTTGGCTGTGATAAGGTTCCTCAAACTTCCTGAGGTTTGCAGTTCCTGAAATTTACAGGATTTACAGTTCCTGAGGTTTATGGGTTATCACATTATACAGTGATAAATTTTGCAGATTGCTTATAAGTTCATGAAGAATATGGCTACAACTGGAGAAAAGATCTCTAAATAAGTTGGCAGGCCACATTTTACAAAGATGTCTAGTTAAGTTAGAGGATAGATGTCTAGTTAAGTTAGAGGATAGAAAGAAAGTGGCTAGGAAGGTGGCTCAGTGGTAGAGTGCTTGCCCTGCATGCATGAGGCCCTGGGTTCGATTCCTCAGCACCACATATGCAGAAAAGGCCAGAAGTGGTGCAGTGGCTCAAGTGGTAGAGTGCTAGCCTTGAGCTGAAGAGCTGAGGGACAGCACCCAGGCCGAGTTCAGGCACCACAACTGACCAAAAAAAAAAAAAAAAAGAATTAGGTAAGAGGAAAGTAAAGATTTTTGGCATGACTAGAGCAACATTGTTTCTGGTCCTAGGATGCCTGAGTTTATAATCCTAGCTACTCAGGAGGCTGAGATCTAAGAAGGTTCAAAGCCAAACCAGGCAACAAATCTGAGAAACTCTTACCTCCTTACCTAGCAAAAATCTAGAAATGGAAACCCTTAGGGACAGTTTAAATTCTTTTTTTCAGGTTAAGTCTTTGAAATATAGCAGTTAATTTTTTTTTTTAACATTGACAGTGCACCCCTTTTGGGACTATCTGGATTTCTGGTATTCAGGATCCACATGAGCTGTTGGTCACCCTCCTGCAGATTAGCTCCTTAGCCTGTGAATTTTCTCTGCTTCCTTCCGCCCGTCTGAATAAGTGCGCTCTTGTAAAACGCATATATTTCATAACATGGCATTATTTAACAACCAGGAAGTGATATGACTGGCCTTGGTTAAGGTCATAAACTAAAAAAAGATTATTTTCCATCAACTCTTGTTTATCTTTGATGACATTTTGATTACAATAGTAGTATGATTATAGGTAACCATGTCAGATTACTTTTAGCTATCGGTTGGAAAAAGAAAATTCTCTGGAGAGTTTAATTCTGGAGTGGCAGTGGGAGTGTTTGGCTTTGTAGTTGCATGGTACCAATATATAAAAAAAGAAAAGATTGGAAGCTTCCCAAGCATTCAGAATCCTGCAGTCTCTTATGGCTTCCATCCTGACAAAAATTGCTTAGCCTGCTAGGCTGTAAACATTGTTTACTGTTTTGGAAAGAATATCACTTTTTCACATCAGGCTTCATGTATCCCAAATGGTGTCATGAGAAACTCTCTTCTTCCCAGTGTGGATGGACAGTGTGCAGAATTACTATCCACTTGAAAAATTAAGCCAGAACATCATCAGGAAGCAGGGATCATCCTTGTCTTTGAAAGGGAGTGGAATTGCAAAACATTGTTTTATCTTTTAAGCTATGTCACAGATACCCAAGATCCTTAAGACAGAAACTGGTCCCAGTTCTACCATTGACATGGCCAGCCATTTGAGAACATGCAGGAAGAATGGAAATGTCACCCAGAAGCTGCTGATCATCACCTATGGGATGTCATTTTTACGAATCAACATGAGTGGTTGGGTTATGTTTCTAACTTGCTGTAGGAGTAGGAGAATTTACGGAACCTTAGTTCTCTGGACCTGGTTCTCAGGTGATTTTTATTTTTAAATTTTTGCTTGAACTCTGGGCCTGCACTCTTGCTGGACTTTTTACTCAAAGTTGGCACCCTACCACTTGAGCCACACCTCTACTACCAGCTTTTTGCTGCTAATTGGGAATAAGAGTTTTAATGGACTTTTCTGTCTAGCCTGGCTCTGAACTGAGGTAATCACATTTCAGCCTTCTCTGTAAGCTAGGATTACAGATGTTAGCCACCCGTGTTCAGTCTGGGTTATTTCTAATGGTAATAATCTAGAACTTTCTGACTTCATGTCACACTCTAATTGACACCTATAACTCCTTCTGCCTCACACCTGTGGTGGTGTGCATGTTGTTTGATAGCTTGTCTTGTCTGTCAGCTTGCGTTTTCTGGAAGGGAAAGGGAGAATTGGTTAACATTTACTGAGCATCCATGTGCACCAGGCAGACTGGTAGAACATGGCTTGTATTGTTCCTTGTCATCTTATCCAATTAGCTGTGGAGCCTACATGATAGAGCTGGAGTCCAGATCAGGTTTGTGTGATTAGAGTTCAGGCTGTACGCACTTTAAAGACACAGCCCGCCATTTTCCTCTGGAGTTTCTTGGTTCACCTTGCAGCTTTTCCCACTAAGGTTGTGGCAGGCCATGCATGCACTGCTGAACCTGAATAAACACAGGTTTTATACAAGTGGGCATGTATGTCCACAAGTTTTCTTACTGTGGATGCAGGTCAGGAAGGGGTCTTGGACCTTTTCTTGTGCCAACTAAACCTCCCTTTACTCTATAAATTCCTCTGAACTTTCTGGATAACATAGTTCTTTTACTGTGAGGTTATATTGAACTATAAGGTCTGTTTGGTAAGAGGTGCTGTATAAATGCCACATTACAGGTAAACCACAGCTGGAAAGACAAACTCACTAAGTGAACATGCAGGACCTGGCTACTGGCCAAATATCGAGGAGTGTCTTCACTGCTTCTGTGAGCCTGGTGGCAGGCCGCATCTGCGGTCTGACGTCTGTTCACTTTTTCTCAGTTCTTGGCCCTCCCCTCCCCGCTTGCCCCAACTCACACAGTGTCTCCCAGTTCCAAGAGCACCAGTGTAATCCCACCTCTGTAAGCAGCATGCCACCTGGCCTGCCTCAAGTCATGACTGATGAGAAGATGTATTTCCTGAAATATTTGGTGTGTGTGGAGTTAATGCAAGCACTAACTGTTGACATATGGTGGATCGAGCTGCCTCAGGAAAACCCCCTTATTACTGTTATGGATTGCATTCCAGTCTCAGAGGTACCTACAGTGGGGTCTTCCCTGTACATGTCTGCTGTAAGTAATTCTTTGTCCGTTTGTGGTTTCCAGTGATGCCCCCTAATCTCTCTGTTTTGTTTTTTGTTTTGTTTTTTGTGACAATTGGAAACCCAGGGTTTGCTCAAGGTCCCTCTGTGGCTTCCATTTCTGCCTTTAGGAAGAGCCAGAGGGTGGAGCAAGTGTTTATGTTGAGAAGAAAAGAGGTTTATCACACCAGAGATTGCTTGAAAAGAGTTCAAGTTTAGATGAGCTTACCAAGTTCACTGTTTTTGCTTGTTTTGTGTTCTGACCATAGGCACAGAGTTCTTTTATTTTATTTTTTTGGCTAAGAAATCTAAGTTGACATTACTATCAACAAGTCTTTTTCTTATTTCTGGTGGTGTAAATAGATTTTCCTAATGTTGGAAGCAAATTAGAATTGCTTAATGCTCCCTTTTTATTTTTATTTTTTTAATATAGGCACGGGGAGGTTAAGATACTAACCTCAGGTTGCACAGTGAGTTATGCAAAAGGCATTTCTCTGAAAGGTGAGGTTACATGATGGGAGGAAAGTGTTTAGCAGTTTGTGTTTCCTGTCAGAGTTTGTGCATTTCCATCAGTGAAGTCAACACAAGCTCAGAGTACCACTACACCAAGATTGTGAAAATCCTGTTGTCACAGCAGACCACCTGCAGTTCCACAGTGGCCTGGTCTCATTGGGCCTCTCCTTTAGCCAGTTGGACATAGTGTTATGTTGGACATCAGTTCTTAAAATATTTCTAGTTTTTTTTTTTTTCGGAAAATCAGTATTACCTAGTTTAGTAATCCCTGAATTCTGTTCTGATAGCTTGAATCTTTGTTTTGTATTCTGAGGTACTTCAGCAGCTATCACTTAGTAACAAAAGCATACTAATCTTCAGTATGCATGTAGCACTTAAAATTTTTTCCTTTTTTTTTTTTTGTCGGTCGTGGGGCTTGAACTCTGGGCCTGGGCGCTGTCCCTCAGCTCTTCAGCTCAAGGCGAGCGAGCGCTTTACCACTTGAGCTACAATGCCACTTCCGATTTTCTGGTGATTTATTGGAGATAGGAGTCTCATGGTTTTTCCTGCCCGGGCTGGCTTTGAACTGCAATGCTCAGATCTCAGCCTCCTGAGTAATTAGGATTACAGGCGTGAGCCACCAACGCTGGGCCAAAAATTTTCTTTTATTATTATGAGGAGAGATACTTAAGTTCCCAGGTTCTTCTTTTAGTTGCTTAATTGGAAAAATTAAAATGGTTAAACTAATGGAATATAAGTAGAGTTTAAGTCACTTCAGCTTGAGTATATTGTCATACTTAGATTCACATCTGTATCAACCAATAACAAACCAGTGGATATTCCTAATAGATGTTTTTTTTGTTTTGTAATAGTGTAACATTAAACCTTTGGTGATATGATTTCACTGAAGTTTGGAATAATTATTTTCTAAAAAATGGCTTAGGACTGAGAGTAGAAGGAGCTAATTCAGCTGTCTAATAAATAATTGCATTGAGAATTTACAGCCTGATAAATTCTCACTAATTACAGAAATGGAAGATACTAGTGCTTTTTATTTTAAACTTTGTTTTCCTAAATATTATCTCTCAGTGGCTAAAACAAATCTATACCTAAGGCTAAATTTGGACAGTTATGTTCTAGAGAATGAGGTCACTCCAGAAAAAATAGGCATCCATTTGTAAAACCAAAATATCTTATCCCCAAACACATAGACTATTATCTCTAATTTCTTCCTCTCCCTTCAGCTAATTAAGCATAATTACCCATGGGTTTTATCTTTGTGATGAAATTCATAACCTCTTTTAAGAGTTGACAAGGCTCAGTGACTTGGGGGGATTGGAGTTTTGCGCTGTTGTCTGCCATGCTGACTGAAGAGAGGTGAAGAGTCTCAGATGGCCTGAGCAGCTCCCTCTAACACTTGATGAGACCAGGGAATAAGTGGTACAGTGCAGGGAACTATTAACATAACCTGACCCTCATCAAATACCCTTCCAAATATGAATGGACAGTTGGACTCTGATTCTGATTGTCTGCACATGTCCTGTTCTATAGATGGAAAGTTTTGTTTTTATCATTATGCGAGATTGGTTGCAAGTATGTTAGGTAACTACTTTCTCTACCAGTATTTCAATATAGCTTGTAGAATTGATTTGCTTTAAATAGGCCATTGCATTAGACATATCTGTTAGAAGAAATTGAACTTAGATTTAGGGAAGCAAGGTACCTTGATTCCATGGATAACTAGGGATGGCCAAGAAGAGAAAGATGCATGTAGTTCATGTTAAAAAATGTCAGAAAGCTGAGTGTCATCTCAGATTTCATCCTGTGAGCATACTACCTAAGTATGTAGGTTATCTTTTGTTTCTCTCTCCCTAATTCCTTATTTGTGGTACTAAGGATTGAACTTAAGGCCTCTAACTTGTTAGGCAAATGTTTTACCACTCAAAAGCCATACTCCCAGTCCTTTTACTTTTAGTTTGTTTTTCAGATAGAGTATCTTGGTTTTTCTATTACTTTGGGCCAGTGATCATGCTACCTACAGCCTTCTGTGTATGAGTGTATGTATTACCACCACGTCCAGTTTGTTTGTTGGTAGAAATAGAGTCTCACTAACATTTTGCCCAGGTTAGCTGTCAGCCTTGATCGCCTTGATCTTCAGTTCCCTTGATCTCTGCTTCCCAAGGACCCCTGGCTTATGTGACTTAGTAAAGACAAAGACATAACTTTCACTGGATGGATTGGTGGGTTAGCTTCCTTGAGTGATCACAGGCCACGTACTAATTCTGTATTGATTTCCTTAAACATTTTTGACCCTGTAAGAAGTGCTACTAGAGTTTTTTGTTTGTTTGGGTTTTCGTTTTTTGGTCTTGAAGCTTGGACTCTGGGCCTGGACCCTGTCTGAGTTCTTTTGCTCAAGGCTAGTGCTCTATCAGAGGATTAAAGGGGAAAATGACCATGTAAATAAGAAAATTACAGTAAAAGCTGATGATTAGAACCCCAGAGGGAAAAGTGGTCCATCTCTCAGGTGTTGAAACATGGGGAAACCTTGTGAGAGGCTTCAAAGAGGACACTTGGATTCAGTCATAAAAGATGAGTAGGTAGAGCCACAAGATAGTGTCAGGGGCTGGCACCAGGCAGGGAAGGGGCCTGAACAAATAAATGGCCCATACTGAGAACAAGTAGCAGTCACTGTGGCAAGGGGAAGACATCCAGGGAACTGGTCCTGGAGAGATTAGCAGACCTTATCTAGATGTTGGACCTTACTGGTGATGAACAGCACAATGAGATTCACACTCTGGCAGCTCTGTGAAGGATGGACTTATGGGGAGACTGAATGGAAGCCTGTAGGGGACCATTACGGTCTCCAACTGAGAGATAATGCAGAGCGAGATGGAAGGAGAAGAGCAGGCTGGGACCAGTGCCAAGGGCAAGAGTGGGATTAAGGAGATAATAAGGATTATAAATGTCGAGGACTTTATTTCCTATGTCAGGAGCTGGTTCCAATCAAGGATTTATAGGGTATTATCCTTTTAAAGCAAAGCGTACAGTCTCTTCAAGACCTTACCTTGCTTCCACAGTGGAAGGGAAGGTAATCAGATACAAGATTTCCAGCCATGTTGTAAGAGCTTCATTTAAAATACATAGTGAAAAAACTGGGAGAAAATGAGGGAGGGGGGTGATACTGTTCAAAAAGAAATGTACTTATTACCTGATTTGTGTAACTCTAACCCCTCTTGCCATCACCTTTACAATAAAAACTTAAAAAAATAAAATAGTACATCCAAACAATGCATAACTACTCCTAAAAACTAGGATATGTTGTACCCTCCCTTCCATTTTTAAAAAATATTTTATTGTAAAGATGCTGTACAGAGGGGTTACGGTTACATGAGTAAGGTAATGAGTATAGTGGCAGCTGATTCCTCCTCCACTGAGCCTCATTTTTCTCATCTGTAAATATTAAGCTAGTACCGCTGAGCCTCATTTTTCTCATCTGTAAATAGTAAGCTAGTAATGCTGCCTCCTGGGTTTCTTGAGAGAATTAAATAAAATCCAAGCACAGGAAAAATGATAGTGGTGAAAGTACTGATGTTTTTTTTTTTTTTCTTTCCTCAGTGGAGATGTGTAGATTGAACTTTCTTTTTCTCCTTTTCTGAGGCTTACTGGTTAGGGACCCAGAAGTCCAGTCAGTATAAAAGAGTAATGTGACCAGGCACCTGGTGGCTCACGTCTGGAATCCTAGCTACTCAGAAGCCTGAGATCCTAGGATCATGATTTGAAGCCAGCTGTATTAGTATAGTTCAAGAGAACTTAGCTCCAATTGGCTATCAAAAAGCCAGAAGTGAAGGTATGCTCTGGGAGGGGGGCGGGGGAGTAGAGCACCAGCCTTGAGTGAAAAAGCCAAGTGAGAGCTACAGACACTTGAGTTTGAGCCCCGCACACAAAATGTGTGATGTGTGTGATAGTTAATTGTCCACATGTTGAAGGTCCTTGAGGAGAACTCACATAAAGAGAACAGCACACTGATAGTTTCTGTCTTTGCTACAGGATGTTAGTTGCAACGAGATCACAGCGTTGCCTCAGCAGATAGGTCAACTGAAATCTCTCCGGGAGCTGAATGTCCGAAGAAATTACCTTAAAGTATTACCACCAGGTGAGAAAGAAGGGGAAGTTGAAGAAACAAGAGACTTGTTGCAGAGAGAGAGAGAGAGAGAGAGAGAGAATGTGTATGTGGTTGTGTGGTTGTGTGGTTGTGTGTGTGTGTGTGTGTGTGTGTGTTGTTGTGGTTGTTGACTGGGTTGTTCCTTCCTTGGCTTTTCTCCTTGGCTTCTCCCCACCCACTTCTGTGCTCTCCTATGTCCTAATCCCTTCTGACACCAAGGATTGGATCAGAGCCCACCCTAATGATCTCATTTCAATTTAATTACCTCTTAGGCCTATCTCCAGATACAGCCACATTCTGATATCTTTGGGTCAGGATGTCCACATTTAAATCTGGGTGAAGGGAAAACAGCCAGCCCATAGCACTGACAACAAAAATTCTTTTTGTATCAGTGTGTGATGTTCTGAATGAAAGAAAGTGACACACTTGGACAGACCCTGGCTGTCAGCTCTGTGCAGGATGTCCTTCTTGTCAAAAGATACATCTGTTTAGAAAATTTGTCCCATTCAGAGTTGGAGAACAACCCTGTCAGAGGTAGTGGGTCTGAAGTTGGTATTTGGGCTCGGGTATGGGTCAGAAATGAGTTGATCAGCAGCAGAACCCTATTAAAGTCTCCCAACATACTGCTTTTTCAAAAATCATCCTGATCCTCATTGTTTGTGTTTATGGACTTCTAGACATGCCAGATTTCAAACACATACTTGTAAAAGGCAAAGCATGTGTTTTGAAGTGGTCAGCACTGGGTTAAGGTGACATTGCTACTGCACATTGAGGCCTGCCTGATTTTCTGATTTTTCTTTTCTTTCTTTCTTTCTTTTTTTTTTTTTTTTCCATTGTGGGGATTGAACTGAGGACCTGGGTGCTAACTGTGTGCTCTTTTCTGTTCATAGCAAGTGCTATCACTTTGATCTATAACTCTGCTTCTGGTTTTCTGATGGTTAATTTTAATTGGAGATAAGAGTTTCATGGACTTTTCCTGCGTTGAGCCATGATTCTCAGATCTCAGCCTCCAGAGTAGCTAGTATTATGGCATGAGCCATCAGCACCCGGCTGAATTGTTCTGTTTTTATTGTCTGCTTCTGCATCTTGATTTTTGGCCTTCTTTTTTGGGGGGGATTTGGGGGTGGCCCTAGGGCTTGAACTCTGGGCCTGGGCTCTGTCTCTGACTTTCTTTTCCTCAAGGTTAGCACTCTACGACTTAAGTGAACCACAGCACCACTTCCAGCTTTTTTGAGTAGTTTGGTGGAGTCTTATGGACTTTCCTGCCTGGTCTGGGTTTGGACCTGGCAGATCTTAGATCTCAGCCTCCAGAGTAGCTAGGATTATAAACATGAGTCACAGCTTGACCTTTGGCTTAAAATCGTCCATAACTCAAGGTAAGGAAGCGATGCTAATGGAACTGTGGAGAGAACTTTGTAAAATGCAACTTCTGTGATGGATGGGAAGGCTGAGCATTTACCCGCAAAGTTCATCCTTCTCATGCTGACTTGAATTCTGAAGAAACTGCATTAGAAACTATCTCCACATAGGACTTTATTCCTTTATTACTTGAGATAGACTAATCTAAGCATATTGACTTTTCATTTTGTCCATGTGAATAAATATTTTTCATTTGAAACTGTTTATCTTAGCTAAAAGCAAACACAAAGGATAAACTTATACCCCAGAGACCTTTCAAACATTAAAGGAAAGTTTAAATTCAAGTCCTGTTGTTATAATAATCACTGTGAAAGTGTCACAAGTAATTGAACTCCTATTCCCTAAAGGAAAAACCAGGGACATCATTTTATAGTCACTGTTTGGAAATGTGTGGAAAATATACTCACCCGCACAATCTAGGGATTTTTGTTTTGTCTCTTACCTTAAAAGCATACCTTTCTCAAACAGATCAGTTACAAATTGCTCTGTTCTCCATAACTGTATTTTTGTAGTTTTGATATTTTAAAATATTCTCAGACCTCAAATTTGAGTTTTCTTGGAAAAGCTTTTGCAAAAAAACATGGTTTCTGAGTATCAGGGTCCTTTTGGCTTCATTCTTGAAAGTTCTATTGATTAAAGAGTTCTCAGGCACTGCACATCTAATCCCTTAAGTACCCTGGTCATAGGCTTCCAGCTTGAGGCGGGGGCAAAAAGGGAAACTGTGGCCTGATTTCCTAGATCATCTTTGGTGTCTGATGACAACTACTACAATATGGGGATCATATTTTGGTGTTGATAAGACCAGAATGAACAGAGGACTCAGGTAGAAATTCATTGTCCCTCTTAGGAGTAGAAAGAAAAGTAAGGTTATTGTTGTTGATCTTCTTCCTCCTCCTCCTCTTCCTTCCTCCTCCCCTCCTCCCCTCCCCCTTCCCCCTTCTCCTGCTCCTCCCCCCCTCTTCCCCATCCTCCCCCTTCCTCCTGTCTCTTCCCCTCCCCATTCTTTCTGTTCTTCTTCTTTCTCTACTTCCTTCTTCTTTCTCCCTCTCTCCCTTCTTTGCTCCTATTCTTCCTCTTTTTCTTCCTGCTTTTTTTTAAGCTTCTCTTCCTCCTCCTAACTTACCTTGCTGCTTCTCTTCCTCTCCTCCTCCTGTTTCTTCTTTGCCATCTCTTTCTTCCTCACTTTCCTGCTATTTCTTTTGATCTCTTCTGGGCCTTAGAGAAATTATCATTTTCTCCTCTATTTGATTACTGTGAATTTGTATAATTCTCATTTTCCTAAACTTGTGGAAATTGTGTTCCAAAATGGAGCCAAAAAGAAATAGTCGTTAGAAAATGATTCCCCCTCCCCTTTTTTTTTTTGGCCTGTGAGTTAACTCCCCATATGTATCTTCCATGAATCTACTCTTTATACTCCTGTATCTATTTAAGTGATGAAGCATTGCAGACAGTGGAGAGGCTTTTTAAATTGGGCTCTGATTTGCCAACCTAGCCCTAGCACTAGGGCTTACAGCAGGATGGCATCCCACCATAGTTTCTAGAAACTATGACAGCAAAAAAGGACTTTCCTTTCTCATTCGTTTTGCTCTCACACTTCCAAGTCTCCAGGTCTCCCTTGTCCCTCTTGCTGTCACCTCCAGCTGCTCACAGCCCTGCACAGAAACCATCACCATGAAGAGTGTGGCCTGAGGCCTATCACTGTTTCTCCAGTGAGGAGGACAGCTGGCTTTTATCTACTTAGGACAATTTGAAAATTTGCATTCCTTGGCTTAGACCAGGAACCTGTGCTTTTTTTTTAGAAATAACCATCTTGAGATTTTCCTCCAGAGCCCACCTGTCAGGTAACTGATGTTTCAGGCTTGGAAGTGGGGCGCTCTTCAGCCTCCTTCTAAAACTGCAGGCTCCTTGATCTGTTAAAAACTAAGGTATGAAACAGGGGAAGTCCTGCACACTCCCAGGGTACTGTGAATGCTGAGAGGCAGCTGAATTGATTACTAAGAAGATTTTTTTTTTTTTTGGGCTGGTGGAATTTGAGGTATAGCAAAATAAAATGAAAACCATCAAGCAGTATAAGGGAGAGTGGAGACCCAATGTGCATTCTTACTGAGGCTCCTTCCTTTCTGGAGTATTTGAAAGTGCCAGAGTTTAGCCCTAAGAGCTCCTGTAACAACAGTATGGGACCCTGTTTTGAAATGACGACTTTGTAGCCTCCAGAGATTGCAGGGATCTGCCAGCGTCACTCTAGATTGTGGCATGGCTCAGCCTCTCTTTGCTCTATGGAATATATTTGACTTTGTTTCTAGCAGCTGCCAACTGTCGGTTTAAATGCTTGAAATTACTGAGTGTTTTCTGTGCCACTGGGTGGAGATTTTAAGCTAAATATAATGCTTCATCTTGTTAAAGCTAAGTAAGACTTGAAAAGCAATAAAGCCTCATGAAATCAGAATTATAGGGCCTATTGGAAAATCCTAAATTAGATAACATGTATTTAAAAAAGATCTTGTACATTTTTACCATAACTGTTTCTAAGACTGTGCATACCAAGATACATTGAATAGATAAATTTATTCTATAATTAGCCTGCTACTCATGTGCTAGCAAGTACTCCATACAAATAGCTGGAAGTGGAAAAACAAAACATTTTCTCCATGACCTGCTTATGAATCTTACTTTAAAAAAAAAAACAAAAATGGTGTTTTAAACAGTGGATACTGTAAATGCCAATTGTTGCCAGCCCTTTTCACAACTAGAACCCAGTTTAATTACTGAGCTCACAGTGAAAGCTTTCCCTGTTCAGTGAAATATTACTCATATCGTCTATCACTTTTGATAATGCTAAATGATTTTCCTCTGTGAGCAGAAAGTCAGTTTTGGAATATTCAGCCATTTGATCGTCTTGCTTGCTGAGATTTCATCCTTTCTTTGTTTATCGTTTTAGAACTAGTAGACCTTCCCTTGGTAAAGTTTGACTTCTCCTGCAACAAAGTGCTGGTGATTCCCATCTGTTTCAGAGAGATGAAGCAGCTTCAAGTGTTACTGCTAGAGAACAACCCCCTGCAGTCTCCTCCAGCACAGGTAGGGGGTGCATCAGAGCCACTGTCCCAAGGAGCTGCTCACAATGGCAGACAAGGAAGCAGCTCCACCAAGCTGGGGTTGTGTGGTGGTGGTGGTGGTGGTGGTGGTTTATCTTTTTATTTGTGTATTAGTGTCTGCTAATTCTATAAGTACAAGGTTTCATTGTAATAGTTACATGCATTCATATAGTGTACTTCTGTCCCACCCACTTTCCTCTGTCATTCTCCCTGCCCCCTTCCTTACTGTAGTTTACCCTACAATGGTCCTTCCTATGTCATTTAAATTCTTCATAGGAGGGACAGTATACAATATTTATCCTCCTAAGTCTGGCTTATTTTGCTTAATTTGATAATCATTTGTGCCATCCATTTTCTTACAAGCAAAAATTATTCTATTCTTAATGTTGAAAACTCCTTCCCTTCCCTCTCCTCCCCTCCTCCTTCCCTTCCCTTACCTCTCCTTCCCTCCCCTCCCTTCCCTTTCCTCCTTTCTCTCTCTCCTTTTTTCCCTCCCTCTCTCTTTCCTTCCCTCAGTTCTCCCCTCTCTCCTCTTCTTTCTTTTCCTTTCCTCTCTTTTTTTTCCTATGCTTTTGCTAGTACTAGTGTTTGAAATCAAGGCTTTGATTATTTTGGAAATGGAATTGTGCAGACTTCTCTACCTAAATTAGCTTAGAACCAAGATCCTTCAGATCTTAGTTAGCCTCCTGAGTAGCTAAGGATTTCAGTCATTGAGCCACTGGCACCTTGCTCTAAATTAATTTTTAACCTTTCCATTGCTCTCTTACGAGCTTGGAAATAATTATGCTTGGATCACCATTTGCTAGTGGGATATTACCAGTCCAGTTATTTAACTCTTGCACTTATTAGCTATTTATACTTAAATAGGTTTCTGTTACAATTTTGCTGTTTAAGTACTTGAACATAATTTTCTATTCAAAGTAGAATTTGGTGGAAACAGTCCTCACAATTTCGATATATTCTGGAGAGGTCAAGTGCAATGTGTGCTGTTAGGGTGTTACTTAACATGAAATCATGCAAATTATAACAGCTCACCAGGTATCTTGAACTTAACATTTTTGTCATTGAAAAATGAATGTATATATATTACTGACTTCTCCGTAGATTTGCACAAAGGGCAAAGTACACATATTTAAGTATCTGAGCATACAAGCATGCCAGATAAAGACAACGGACTCGCTCTATCTCCATGCTATGGAGAGACCACACTCGCACCAGCACATAGAAGACAGGTGAGTGGACGTCTTCCTGTAGTCAAAGCCCTGGTCACAGTGTGGTCAGAGCCAATCTGCTCAGGTAACTTAGCTTTAAAACTTTGCTTCAAAATAAAATAAAACAAAAAACCTCCAAAACAACAACAACAAACTTTGCTCCACTTAATCTACCTCAAGGTTAAGAGACTGCTGGAATAATAAGAATGGATGCTGGTGAGAAAGTTTTGCATCTTGCAAATCTCATCTGCCCTCTCCTGATCAGTCAACAGTCCTTCCTATGTGTTTCTGGATAATTATTTTTTAAAAATTGCTATTTTTTCACTTGTCAATGAGAACAGCTACATCAAACAGCTGAACCATTATTAAATTTTAAATTAGTAATTGCTTTTATTAATTTGAATAACTATACTATGTTTGAAATTTTTTTTTGGGGGGGTGGTTGGTCGTGGGGCCTGAACTCTGGGCCTGGGAGCTGTCCCTCAGCTCTTCAACTCAAGGCAAGTGCTCTACCACTTGAGCCACAACACCACTTCTGATTTTCTGAGTGGTTTATTGGAGATCAGAGTCTCACAGAGTTTCTTGCCTGGGCTGGCTTTGAACCACTATCCTCAGATCTCAGCTTCCTGAGTTGCTAGGATTACAGGTGTGAGCCACCGATGCCTGGCACGTTTGAAATTTTAATAGCTATTACTTTCCAGTATGCACAGAGAGCATTTTTGTGTGTGTGCCAGAGCTGGGCTTGAACTCAGGGCCCAGGCTCTGTTCTTTAGTTACTTAAGGTTAGCACTCTACCACTGGAGTCTTAGTTCTAATTCTAGGTTTTTGGTATTTAATTGGAAATAAGAACTCATAGACTTGCCTACTCAGGCTGACTTCAAACTGTGATCCTCAGTCTCCTGAGAAGCCTAGGATTACATGAATGAGCCATTGGCACCCAACCGCTAATTTGTAATAATAAAAATTGTATGCAGAAAAGTCATTTTAAAAATGTTGATTGTGGGACTGGGAAGGTGGCTCAGTGGTAGAGCTCTTGCCTTGCATGCTCGAGGCCCTGGGTTCGATTCCTCAGCACCACATAAGCAAAAAAAAGGAAAAAAATATTGATTGCTAGATCTTGGTTTGGACTTTGTAGTTTTAATTTATTTCGAATGAATTCAATATTCATGACATCTATTTCAGCAAGAAGGATTCAGATTCCGGAGTGGGAAGCGATAATGGAGATAAGCGATTATCTGCCACTGAGGTAAATCAATGTCAGATCTTTTATATTGGATTACTAGCCTTGGTTAGTTTGTTCTGAATCTTCAGTGTCTTGGAAATACCTCAAGAGCTCAAGAGTAAACTTCCTATCATCTCTCTTTTCTACTCCACATAATCTGTAATTTTTTTTTTTGGTATGAATTGGATGCAGGACTTCCCACATACTAAACAAATACTCTACCTCTTGAAATATGCTCTGATCCTTTTTGTTCTAGCATGGTTTTTTAGGAAGGGTCCTGTGCTTTTGTCTTAGGCCAGCCTCAGACCTCAACTCATCTCTTTCTCTCCCTCCCTCCCAATTGGCTAGAATTAGAGATGTGAGCCCAAATGTCCAGCTGAAATATTTTTAAATGCTGAATTCATATTACAAAGTGACTTAGTACAAGTATACAATAAATACTTGTATTACTATACTTGTGTATAAGTAATGATAACATAGGGAAAAAGTTGTGATAAATAAGCAAAATGTTAAGAAATCCTGTGTACATTGCATTTTTAGTAGTTTGCTGGCCTGAAATATTTTTATTCTTTTTTTTTTTTTTGCTGGTCACGGGGCCTGAACTCTGGGCCTGGGTGCTGTCCCTCAGCTCTTCAGCTCAAGGTTAGCACTCTACCACTGGAGCCACAGCGCCACTTCTGGCTTTTTCTGCTTATGTGGTACTAAGGAATCGAACCCAGGGCCTCATGCATGTGAGGCAAGCACTCTACCACTGAGCCACCTTCCCTGAAATATTCTTAACTAGCATTAGTTCTTATACCGGTATTGGTTTTCCTGAAATGGTTTGTTCTTTGATGCTCTTCAGATAATTAGATAAAAATTTGATTATTGGTAGGCTAAGAGGACTCAGACTAGAGCTTTCTGTTGTGTGAAACAACTCTTCCTTAATATGTTTATTGTCTTACATTTAGTCTGTTAAGTCATGGTAAATCATTTGATTGGGCTTGATCACCCTTTGAACTGGGAGGAATAGATACTATTTCATTCTGAGACAACTTACTGTGTTTTTGAGACTATCGAATCTCAACCATTATAAGACTCCTTGGGATTGTAATTAATATATTAATTAATTTCTCTACAAAATGGATGTTTTTATTATATGTGAATCCAGAAAAATATCCCTTTTTTGTTTCTCCTCAGATTTTTGAATTCTATCTACCTAAGCTGTCTGGTTTCATTTCCACAAAAATACTGAAGAAATAAGCATATTAAGACAATTAGATTCCTTAACATTTTTTTTTCTAATACAGAACATTGCGAAAGGAAAAAGAATTAGTAGGAGGAAAGAGGAAGCCAGTGTCAATAAAGAAAATGACCTCACATGAAGCCATATTAATGGTTTATTGTGGTTCCCTGGTGGGGGGTGGGGAAACTAAACACAGTTAGCTAAGTTGTATTTTATTTCAACCCCTTTGGCTTTATTAAAACTCATAAGGTCCCTCAAATGGACCATTGTTGGGGGAAACTACTCACACTAAGCTTATTTTCTATTAAATTAAAACAGGCCCTTCTTTATCTCTTGTCTAAGACTAATTAAGTTCATTAATAAAACATTACACAAAGAACTTCATTATCCTTTCCTTCTTATTTAGTGTAAGTAGGATGCTAGTATCATTTTAAAAGGATTTATTCTTTCCCTTTTAATTAAACACATATCTTTGGAATTGTATAAAAATTTAAAAGTGGGATATAGCTAGGAAGGAAGGACATAGAAATAATTACATTCAGCAGAATAAAATTCATGAATTGTCTCTTTGGCTCTTTTATGAAACAATTTTGCCTCCATGATCTGCTTTCCTAAGAATGCTTATAAGAAATGGATTTTTTAAAAAATTATAAGGGCTCTGTGTAGTGTTCTATTTTTACTGTGGCAAACATGTTACAATCTAAGGCCATCCCCACCTCCCTTGCATGTTATTGTGGGGTTCAGGGATCGCACCTGTACCCTATTCTTTAGCTGTTGTGATTGTCTGGTTGATTTAGCATTTGTCACAAGAAGAATTAAAAACATGTTTCTCAAGATAATTAAATAAGAACATATGGGGCGACTATGAATGTTTCTTTGATGAGTGAAATGCACATTTGCTTTCAGCCATTTTTGGACACAATCTATGCCCCTGTCCCAAATTGAAACCAGGACAAACTGAAGAACTTAGCCTCAAAAATTTAGGAGTAAACGATACTCACATGAAGTGTGCTCCCTTTGACTCAGAAAGCTTGTCCCTGGAGAACAGCACAGAAATGGAGGCAAAGGAAGTAAACGAGACTTCCAGTTTGGCTTGTGCTAGAATTATAGATGTGCTTGGTAAACATCAGCTAGAATGGGTGGGGAAACCCTTTGAGAGGGCTAATCCCCTCTACTGCTTGGAAACTTAGTTCTGAAGAGTACATAGAACATCTGTTCCTTAGGTAACTACTACAATTGTTGAGCAGGTTACAAAAACATTGATCAGGAAGGTAAACAAAAGCTTATATCCCACACTCTATGAACTCTGAATAATAAGTTATTGTCATTGACACGCTTTTTGTGGTTTATCATGTGAAACCTTTATGTAGTGTTTGGTCAATTTGCTTTCTTTTCAGGTCTCAGAGCACATTATTGGTAAGATAATTGGCTAGATTTAAGGCTCATAAGATACTGTATTTACAGTTATTCCTTTGTTATATCAGATACTACGCAGTCCTTTTTAGTGTCCTGCCCATGGCTCTTGTGTTAGACAAAGGTAGATATGTGTTGACATTTCAACTCAAAGATGTGCACATAAAGACACACATACAATAAAATGTTAGCTGTGTGAATTTTTTTTTTCGGTCGTGGGAGCTGAACTCTGGGCCTGGGCACTGTCCCTCAGCTCTTCAGCTGCAGACTAGCACTCTACCACTTGAGCCATAGCACCACTTCAGGCTTTTTCTGCTTATGTGGTGCTGAGGTATCGAACCCACGGCCTCATACATGCAAGGCAAGCGCTCCACCACTGAGCCAACTTCCCAGCCCCAGCTGTGTGAATGCACACTCATATTACCAACTTAACAATTCAGGATGCCTGAAAGCCTCAGCCATGTGCCATCTCCCAAGTACAGAGGTTATCCTCACTTCAAACCTCTGGGATCGGTTTTTTCTGGTTTTGAATGTTATAAGTAGAATTATTTTTTGTGTTTGGTGTGTCTTACTCAGAATGATGTTTGTGAAAATCACAAAATACTGTTTTATTACACAGTGTCTTTTTGTCTCCGTTGGTAAAACTTCTCCTGTGTCTCCTGTATGTTTTAGCCCTCTGATGAAGACACCATTAGCCTCAATGTGCCAATGTCGAACATCCTGGAAGAAGAACAGATGGTTAAGGAAGATACATGTCATCATCTTACCCCAGATAAAGGTCTGAGTGGAAAGTGTAGAGGGCTTGCTTTTTAGTGTCAGGGCTAGGTTTCAGAGGACGTTGAAACATGGTGGCAATAATAGTATCTGTTGATTGCACATCTGACCTGAACCAGGTCCCAGTCAAATGGGAAGGTGATCCCCTTTCAAATTAATAACTCCAAATGATATTCTATCCATCTCTATTATAGGGGGAAAAACAGGGCTTAGAGAGTTGACGTAATCTGTCATGGTCCCACAAGCCAGTACTACTTATCATAGCAGTAGTAGAACTATTCACATGCTGAAGATTTATAGAAGATTCTTGAAATCCATTCTTTGAAAGGAAATATTGAGATGGTGGATATAGTACTAGAATGTTTATAGTTGATGTCACACATTCCTTTCTCGAATCTCCGTGACTTAATAGAAATAAGTGAAGTGGGAGTTCGTGACTGTTAGTCTAAAGCATTGACTCAAGGACCCAAGCTCTACTTACCATGTGGTGGCAGCCACCTTTAACTCAGGAATTCCAACGTTTCCATGTCCATGGTATTAAGTCAGAAGGGGAAGAAAATGGAGGCTGCTTATAGTGGGCCTTTGTGAGATGGGCCTAAAAGTATCCATCACTTATAAGATTAACGTATTTCCATGGTCATGTCTAGAGATATATGAGGGTGGCAAAGTCACTTCACACTTGTGCTCAGCAATCTAAGTGAGATGGTTGGATTAGGTGATCGCCAGATTCCTTCTGAATCCTTGTTGTCTATAGTCTATATCATACTGTTAAGTCACATTGTGGCAGTATTTGATGGGTGCTGTTTGCCCCAAAACTTCATTGACCTTCCTTCCCTCCTGTCTACCTCCAGTCCCTTCCCTCTCTGTCTACCTCCCTTTCTCCCTTTCTTCCTTCCTCCTTTCCTCCCTGCCTGCAGGCTTCCCTACCCCCTTCTTTTTCTCTTTTTCTTTCCCTCCCTCTCTTACTCTTTCTCCTTTCCATTCAGTGATGCTAGAGTTTCTATTCATGTGCCTCCACTTGTAGGTAGGCGCTCTACCGCTGAGCCACGCCTCTAGCTCTGATTACACAAGGGGTTTTAAATGTGTTGCTTACTGATTTGTGGTAGATACTATTTCACTGGTAGATACTATTGTACTGTATTAATATACAGATTACCTCCCTGCTAGTTTCAATATGACGTTTTGAATGATGAGAGCAGTGTTTAAGATAACTCCAGATTATCGGGTTTGTTTTTACTTCTTAGACTCAGGTTGTTATATTTAGCATTAAATTCAATGAGACTATGGTGGGAACCATATGTTATCCAAAAACAAACTAGAAATACATACTTATGGAAAGATAGAAGTACCTCGTGTATTTGTTTGTACAACCTGTGACATTATATAGTAGTAGGGGTCCTGTTTTAGACAGAAATTTTAGGAGAAAGAATTACATCCTCTGTTACTAGTAAACTTCCTCATCTCAAAGTGGATATCCTGCTAGCTTGAGTGTGTAAAGATGGCCCTATGGTTCACTTTGGCCTGCAGATGGTCACAGTAGTTCCTACAGTGTTCCTTTGGCCTTTTCCTCTATGGCCTGGAGCAGGATCCAGTTGGGTATGCTATACTTGAGCATGATTTTGTTTCTGTGTGGCCTTTCTATTACTATTAGGATTTGGGGCTCTTATTGACTCTGCCTTGTACTTCCTTCATATTATTTGCTACTCTTAAGGACAGAGTCATACTTGACTGATTTTTTAAATCCTTAAAATGGATAGCATAATACCTGCCAGGTAGCAGCTGCCCAATAAATATTTGTTGAGTGGGGAATTTGAAATAATTAGTCACATATTTCTGAAGGCACAAAAACCTTCAAATGTTTTTTGCTCCATTCTTTAAAAAAAAAAAGTAAGAGGAAATTTTATTTCTCCCATGAGGAATTAAGCCCTGAAGAAACCTTAACTTTTTTGTTGTTGTTTTGTTGTTACCAGTCCTGGGGCTTGAATTCAGGGCCTGGGTGCTGTCCTTGAGCTTCTTTTTTTTTGCTAGCACTATACCACTTGAGCCACAGTGCCACTTCTGGCCTTTTCTGTTTATATGGTAATGTGATGTCAGGAAAATGAACTCTTAGATATGTATTTTAATGCCTTAACTTTTTAAGCTCAATTGCTTTTACTCTTCTTCTTCCTCCTCCTCCTGTTTTAAATCTCCTCCCCTCCCCCCCTCCCCCATTCTGTGGGGAGGAGAAAGTGTCCGTTATCCAGGTCATTCTATAATAGGTAAAGGAGGAGATGGAAGCAATTAGCATATTAGAAGATCACCAGTGTTCTTGTGCTTCTGGTCATGCAGTCATCCTTTTACCCTTTCTCTGTCTTTTCTCACAGGGGAGTTTCATCAGGAATTTCAACCAGAGTCTTCCCATTTGGGTGACAGCAACAACTCAGGACAAGAAAGAGATCCATTCGGGGATGGAGCAGATGTTCTGCATTCGGGATTTATGAACTATGTTAAGGCAAGGTTTTGAAGATCCATTAATATTCTTTGTAGTCATGTTCTTTTGTATGGTACCTTAGAATTTAGTTCAAGGTTCCCATGTTTGCTGCTTTCAAAGTCCAACTTTTGGTGGTCTTCATTACTCCCTCTCAAAGAAGAACCTGTTTTCTGATTTGAGGAACTGGTCACCCAGGCATATTCCTGGTTTTGCCTATTATAGATCTTTTTTTTTTTTAAATTGAGATTGCTCATCTCCCTCTTATTCACTGTGCTGTGTAAGTTAGCACACTTTCCAGTCAGGAAAAGCTGAAATAATTCCGCATTCTTTTCCGTGTGTTCTAGGGAAGCATGTAGCCTGAGGGTATAGATGGAGTATCTATCCCTTTTCCAAAATGCTTAGGACCTGAGATGTGTCCGATTGTGAAACTAGTCTGATTTATATAGACTTTACAAGATGAGTGCACCTAATCTAAAAGTCTAAAATTCAAAATGTTGCAATTTCTGAAAGCTTTTGTGGCACAGTAACTTTGAGACTAGGGAGCATTTGGAACTGCAGATAGTCACATTGTCATTTCATATCATCCTGTAGAGAGAAAGGATAAATCAGTACAATCTGTTTCATATACTTGGAAAAAAATGAGATGTTTTATATAATGGCTACTTTCCATTTTTTTCCTTTCTGGATTTTATGTATTTTTTATTGTAAAGATATTGTACAGAGGGGTTACAGTTACATGAGTAAGGTAATGAGTACATTTCCTATCGAGCACTGTTACCCCCTCCTTTGTTTTCCCCTACCATCCCTTCCCTCCCCACCTCCCCACCTCCTCCCCCCGCCCCCCCGCTTTTCACTTTAAAGGCACAAACTGGGAAGAAATACCTAGGTCTCCTATAGTTGAAATCAATGCAAAGATCAAGGACGTGTTATCTTAGTCCTGTCCAGTCACAAGCAATAACAATGTGTGCATTGACTTTATTGAATACTACAAGTCTAACTGGTACAGAAAAACATTTTTCCTTTGGGTCAGAAGAAAGAATGTGGAAGGCCCACAGTGATACTGCCGTCTTGGTATTGATCCCCACTACAAGGTCTCTTTGGAGAAAGTTGGGGAAAGGCAAGGAGAGTATTTGAATGAAGTCTAATCTTGTGCCTGTGAAAACCACTGGGGTGTTTTTCTGTTAAGTACCAATGAGGAACCCAGTTAAGCTTTAGACTTCTGCTGCTGGCTCACAGATGCTGTGGTCTCTGGCTAGGATATTATTTTGTTTTTAATTTCCCAAGTTTCCATTGTAGTAAAATATGTATAACATGAAATTTAATATATCACCCTTTCAAAATATGAGCCAAGATTTCAATGTACAGTCCTGGCTGGTCTTGAACTCATAACTGTCTTGCCTTCCCCAGTGCTGAGATTACAGGTGTGCCCCCACCATGCCTGCCTTGTTTGAGCCTTGTTGTGTGTGTGTGTATGTGTACCAATGCTTAGGCATGAATTCTGGGCCTTGTGCTCTCATTTAGCTTTTTGAGTCATGACTGGCAGTCTACCACTTGAGCCACGCCTCCAGATCTGGCTTTTTGCACATAAGAGTCTCTTGGACTTGTCTTCCCTGGCTAGCTTCAATTAGTGATTCTCAGATCTCGGCTTTATGAGTAGCTAGGATTACAGGCTTGAGCCACCGCACCCAGCAGGCATCTTAACCATTTTTAAAGTGCACAGTAAAATATGTATTAGCTGCTGTTATGCATCTGATCCCTAGGCCTCCTCTTATTTTGCAAAGCTGGGACTCTGTACCTACTGAGCACACCAGTCCCCACTCTGTCCTCCTGCCTTCCTGGCAGCCACTGCTTTTCTTTTTGTCTCAGTGAATTGGACTACTCTGGGTCTCTCACATGTGTGAAGTCATATGTTGCAATACTTTGTGACTGGCTTATCTCAGCATAATCTCTGCATGTTCATCCATATGTATAGTCGATGTGAGAATAATATCCCATTAGATATGCATACCACATTTTGTATATGCACTCATCTGTCAATGGATGCTTCGCTTGCCTTTTGGCTCTTGTGAGTTATATTTCTGTGGAGGTAGTCTGGGGGGCAGGTTTTTAACTTTTTATTGGAAATCCAGTGACTCTTAGGAACCCTGTTCATTCTGTCCCCAGGACAGGACAGAAGTATGTGAAGAGCTGTTGCGGATAGAAGAGGATGCACACTGGCAGACGGAGGGAATGTGAGTGCCGGGAGCCTGGGTATGGGCTGTCATTTCTGGAGCATTCTCTTTTCAAGTATATTGGCAGCCTTGTCCTGATAGAATTTTGACTCATTTTATTTTGAGCAAGCTGATATTCTTACCAAGTGTTACTAATAAATTTTCTCTATCCGATGCTTATTGCAGTATTGGGCCAGGCAGTGTGCCTTAGATTGTATCACACTGCAGTAGTGGAATACCACAGGATGGGTAATTTATAAACAGTAGACTAGGCGGCCTTCTTTATTTTTGCATTTTTATAAATTGTTATGATAAAGGTGATGTACAGAGGGGTTACAGTTTCATGAATCAGATAATGAGTACATTTCTTTTTGGAAAATGTCACCCCTTCCCTTGCATTCTCCCAGTTTTTTCCTTCCTGTCCCCACTCACAGTTTATATAGTTCATTTTCAACATAGTGTCTAGTGAGTACTGCTGCTGTATTTGCCCACCCTTTAGGGCCTCCTTGGTAGAACTAACAGAAGTCTTCACAAGGCAAGAAGAGTGTGTGAGAGATAGAAAAAGGGAGCTGAGATGGGCACTGGTGGCTGACACTTGTAAATCTAACTATTCAGAGGTTGAGATCTGAGGATCACAATTCAAGTCTAGCCTGGGCAGGAAAGTCCAAGAGACCCTTTATCTCCAATAAACTACTAAAAATATGTAAACAGAACTGTGGCTCAAGTGTAGAGCACTAACCTTGAGCAAAAGAAGGGACAGCACCCAGGACCCCCTCAGTACAAGGTCCAAGACCAGCATTAAAGAGAGAGATAGGTAAGGGACTCACATCTTGTATGATAGTTCCATTAGTCCAGTCACATCACCAAGTTTCCTTCCTTCAACATCATCACATTAAGGATTTAATTTCTATGACATGAGCTTTGAAGGACATATTTAAGCCACAGAATGATGGAATCTTTGTTGTTGAAGCCATAGGTAGAAATATAATTCAGAGAATTAACTAAAGTACCTAGATTGCCAATGATACTTCCCTTCCATTTTCTTGAAAAAGCCAATAACTAGCCCTAAAGTGTGATCTTTAGTGCTGGTTTGTCTCTTCACCCAGACTTCTGGTTCAAGTTCTTAGGAAAACATACATCTTTAATATCCTGGTCCAAAGTCTTAATAACTATCACAATTAGAGCTTTGTAAATACTACATGCGAGGCACTGTCCTAAGTACTTCACAGGTCAATACTCATTCGATCTTTAAAAAAGTCCTGTATGTTGTCCCTCCTTTCACAGCTGATGAAACTGAGACATAGAGAGATGGATAATCTTTCTACCAAAGTCACAGAGAGAGAGAGAGTGAGAGAGAGAGAGAGACAGAGAGACAGAGACAGAGAGAAGCCAACATTCCACCCTTAAGGAATCTTGTACCAGATGACTATTCTTTCTACCATGTTGCTATGAAGATTTATTTGACAGGATCTACACAGAGGATATAAATGCTCATCTTATATTGTGAACTCTTTCCACGGTAATTGAGTTTGGAACTTGTGACACGGAGTAGGTGTTTGGTTTTCAAAATTTTGCTTTCCCATTATCTGCGAAGTAGATCTAAACCTTCCATCATGACTTGTGTGAATTTTTCCTCTTAGTGAGGATTGATCACATGGTTAACATTTCCCCCTATTTAATTTGTTCTGGAGTAAGAGCAATTAACAATGTTCAAATCTCTCCTGCAAAAAGAATACTGGAAAGTTTGTCTCCAGTCACCATCTATATTACTAGCTGCTCATTGGATAGGTTTCCATTGATTAGAGAGGGTTGGCTTGAACTCAGTACCTATGCACTGTTTCTTAGCTTTTTTTGCTCAAGGTTGGGATTTCACCTTTTAGCCATAGCTCTACTTTTGGCTTTGTGATGGCTAATTGAAGATGAGAGTCTTACAGACTTCTCTGCTCTGGTTGGCTTTGGACCATGATCTTCAAAGATCTCAACCTCCTGAGTAGCTAGGATTGCAGGTGTGAGCTACCAGCACTTGAGAAGCTATGGAGGTCTAGCTTGATGATAGAATCATGGAATCACAGGAAAAAGAGTTATTCTAAAATTATCTACATGTTTGAGAACTCTATTCTCCATCTCATGTCTGTTGTTTTCTACTCTGTAAGTCAGGATTATGTGTAGAGTTTTATGCACTGCCCAACCCTACCTAAGATCAGTCCTACTTGGGAGTTTCTTTAGCTACACAGTTGATTTTGTTGCCTGTAGAACCTAGGCTGACAACCAGTCTCCAACACCTGCTGTATGAATATAATAAAACTGAACCAAGCTCAAATGAACTGGAGTTGAAGACCTGAAATAACACAGATGCACTCACCAGAGCCTCTTGTGCACCACTACCCACCCCCTGCCAAAAAGAACTCAGGGAAGTACCCCCACTGCACTGATTCCCTGACTGTAAATAAGAGCGCTTGAGGGCCTCCACCCCTGGCTTCCCTCACCCAGGACTCTTCCACACTGGACTTCCCCCACCCGCATTCCCGCACGTACCCCACATTGTCCTCATGCATCTTCATTAGAATGTTGACTTTGCCAAGATCATTTTTATAAGTTTGATTTTTTTTTTATGTTTACTCTTAAGAGCTGAGGTGATCCTCAGGTTTTAGCGAATGTTTCCGTGCTTATACTTGGTTTCATGTTTCAGAATAAGTTCATCCAAAGAGCAGGACGTGGATATCATGATGATTGAGCAGCTGAGGGAAGCGGTGGATTTGCTGCAAGATCCCAACGGGTATGCATGGCTTTCCTTGGCCTGTGTTTCATGTGTTCATAATAACTACTAATTTACCGAGTATGACATCTCAATTTCTAAAAAAAAAAAAAAAAGAATTTATACATACAGTTTGGTGTCACTCTAACCCCTGACAGTCACATCACATTACTCTTCTGTTTTCAGTGTCTAAAAGTGACAGAGTAGAATTTCTGTAGAGATTGAGGCCAGTCCGCCACCACTTTTCTACCTCTCGGTGAAATTTATTTCCCTCTCATGAAATTTGTATCAGAGTTCTGGTACAACTTTTAGGAGACAGACAGTAATAAAGTACATGAAATTTAAGCCACTGCCTTGTAGAAGTACAAGGAAAACTTTTCTAAAATGGAAATTAAATAAGTAAATGCTATTGTATTTATTTCTGGCAGTGTGGAGTATATGATTATTAGAGAATATATGTCTAAAACTGGGTTGTAGATTACTTTTTTATATTTGAATTGACCGTTGTCAGTAATCTACTTTTTTATATTTGAATTGACCATCATCAATAATGTATACTGTGGGCAGTGGGTATACTTTTTGATTTCCTAACTAAGGATAATGGAATTCCCATGAACAAAATATTAAGGTGGTCTCAGATATCAGACAGTAATTACATGACTACCAGTAACCCAAAAACTTATCCCTGGTAAATTATTCAAGATTCTTAGGGAATTCAATGTAATGACGATGAGGTCACCAGTGAACATTCCAGTAATGCCATCTGGCCCTGAAAGAACAGGGGCAGGTCAGGTTCACTGTGGCTGGAAATCTTTAGCAATTGGTTGAAAACTACTTCAGCTATATAGATCAAAACTCAATTGAGTCCTCAGAACATGGAAAGATTTTCAGTGCGTGCTTTGAGAAATATGAAAAAGAACCATACATAGATCTTGCCTTCCAAGCACTTATAATGCCTATGGTTATAAGAGCTGCAAGATTGAGCAGGTAATTATTATAATGTGTCCTCTGTTTAGGGCCCCAGTCTCCTCCCCTGTTGTACCTGAGACACTTCCTCAGCTCTCAGGTGTCTGAGTACTGAGTTACATGGGTTGGGATGATGGGTAGATATGGTACACATGCCCAAATATGTAGAAGTCATTTCCTTCTTAATATAATTCACTACATTTTCTTTTGCTCAAGAGTAGTGCTCTAACACTTAAGCCACAGTTCCACTTCCAGCTTTTTTGGTGGTTAATGGGAGATAAGAGTCTCACATACTTTCCTGCCTGGGTTGGCTTTGAACCTCAATACTCATATCTCAGTCTCCTGAATAGTCCCCTGGCTCACAGGTGTGAGCCACTGGTGTCCAGCTTAAAGGTTTAGCTTTTATACAACAGCCACATCAGAAACTTGGTGTTTATGATGGAACTTGCATCTTGCTCTCGAATAGTGCTGTCTTGTTTTCCTTTATCTCTGTTAGGTTGGCTATAGTTCACACAATTGTAATTTATAGACCTATGAAAATCTATATACTTTAAGATGGCTCTATAACTTTTACATTTCTTAGAGAATTTTCTTTAGAAAAACATCTTTTAAAACTGAAGAAACTATACTGTTTCAGAAAAATATATACAAAATTGCTCAAAAATTCTTTTTCCCCCCTTTTCTGATACTGGAGATTAAACCCAGGGCCTTGTGCATACTAAGCATATACCCTGCCATTCCTAGGTTAGGATTCTTAATTTATAATGAAAATACCACTCTTAAAGTCAGTGTTATTGGTGTATATACTGTATAGAGGCCTTTTAGCTATTTTATGTGATAAAAGTTATTCAGGATAGCTAGAGAAACTAAAAATGTATTATATAGGAAAAATTGATGCGGGTACTTAGGGATAGGGCTTAGGGTATATCAGTGTTACATGGGATAATAAGTTCTAGAGTTAAGATTGAATATATGTTTAGATATGAATGATATGATTTTATCAGAAATTGTTATATGGTAAATAATTTGGATGTAAGTACCAGCAGCAGATGAAAAAATTGTAATTTGGCTCGTGGTAGGAAACTCCTGTCACAGACTTTCCATCACCTTTATCCCAAAGATAAACATCACTTTTCAATGTACTAAACTTCTAAACTAAATATGATGTGAAATTTATAAAAAGGGAAGTTTAGTAAATTTCTGTCTTCTTTTCCCCCTTTTCAGACTAAGCACAGACATCACAGAGAGAAGTGTTTTGAGTCTGTTCCCTGTGGGATCCGCAGAAACCTTAGAGCTGCCAGATTCTACACTGAAGTGCGTGCGCCTTTCTATCACTAAGCATTTTTCCTCTTTTGACATTGAAATCTTAATGCTGTGAATTCCATTTGATGTTTTCTTTCTCTCTTTCATTATTTCTACAGTGGTCCAAGGCAGCTGGAGACACCTCCGGTGTGTGAGGTGAGGTGCAACGTTCCCCTGCCCTCTGCTGTGATAAGTTGGGAGGGGTAAGATGAGGGGAGCATGGCGTGGGGGCACGATACTCACGTGTTCAAGACACAGTTTTCATCTGACCCATACTTTCTCTCTCTTTGGTTTTGCGTAGCTGCCATGCTTCATCTTCTATGACACATGAGAGTTAGCTATTTCTATTTCACCATTTAAATTTTTTTTACATCAAGATAGTGTGGCTGAACTGGGTGCTACTCAGGAGGCTGAGATCTGAGGATCGTGGTTCAAAGCCAGCCTGGGCAGGAATGTCCATGAGACTCTTATCTCCAATTAACCACCAGACAAAGAAGTGGCACTGTGGCCCAAGTGGCAGTGCTAGCCTTGAGTTGAAGAGCTGAGGGACAGCGTCCAGGTCCAGAGTTCCAAGATCCACCACTGACAAAAAAGAAAAAAAGTGTGGCTGAGTGAGACAGTGATACAAGGACCTGCTCTGTGTCAGAATCTGGATTAAGTTTAGACTGTAGAGCCACGAAAGAAGTTTCACCAGATAAAAATAAACCAGGGAAGATCCCAAAGACAGGAACGAATGAATTGGAGATATATATGCGGGTTAACAGAATATTATAGAGAGAATCTGATGGAGGTGTTTGGGGATAGATAAGGTAGGTTAGATAGAGTTTGTGAACTGAGATTTGGCTAACTCATTTGGCTAGCTTTAGACAAAGCGATTTTGATATAGAATTAAAAATGAACCTAACAGAGGTTCCAAAGAAACATCACTACAGGTCTAGATAGGTTTGAGGGGTAATTTTAAAGGTACAACCTATCACAATAAATTTAATCTTTTCTTAGGTAATGGGTTTAGGATGTTAATGTAAGTACTGAAATTATATACAAACCAGTTCCTGCCCTCCAAAGTGTTGGCACATGTTAAGTCCTAAAGCAGCTTTACAATGTTAACTAGGTCTCTGTTGGAGAAATGAAGACACAAAGACTGTGAATGGGAAAGCCATGCTTGTAGAGAGGGTGATAGCATTGTGACGTGCCAGAGCTTGCTAACTTCGGCAAGATAATTAACTTCTATAAGAGGAATCTTCCTTTTTTGTAAATTGAGATACTAATAACAGCTGTTACAAAGCTAAATGAGATGATTCAAGGAAAGTCCATCTGCACAGGACACCTAAATGCTGGCTGTTTTCTCCTGCTCTATTATTGTTATTGGTGTGGTCTTTAGACAGAATCACAGGGCTGTCTCTGCCCTGGGTAGAGACCTCATTGAATGGACCAATAGAAAACATCAGGAAACCTTTTATTTACAGGTAGCCCTGGATTTATTTTCCTCCAGCTCTCCATCTGAGATTAATTTTAGTTCTTTGCAGTCTTGCTTTTGCTCTTAGCTTCTTATTTGGAAATAATTGCTAACCTTCCAGAAGACTGCAAAAAATGAATTGGAAGCCTCTGCCAAAAAAAGCACAGTCTTGTACAAAATCAGATTTACCAGTTAGGGGTTGAATATCCCTAATCTGAACATCTTTGGATCCAAAATGTTTGAACTTTTGAGCACCAAGATGATGCCACAAGTGAAAAATTCTACACCTGACTTATAATGAGGGATAGTCAAAATGTAGTGTACATAATGTATTGTATAGATTACTTGTGTCTAAAGTGTGTATGAAACAAAAGTGAATTTTGTATGTAGTCTGAGTCATATTCCCAGGATATTTCATATTATATGCATGTGTGTATGTATATATGCCAGTGTATATTTCAGTTGTTAACTTCATACATTTATAGGTACTGAATTCAGTTATCAGATCTGCATAACCTCCTTTACTCTAGAACATGCCCATTTTTTTGTGACTCTGAAAATTTGAAGATCCTAAGTGTCCCCTTTATGAATGGAGTGTTCTTCTTTGGTATTTATCAAATAACTCCTTATGATAAGATTGAGGTTCTACATCTGTCTTTTGGGACACTGCCCAGGTGATCTTGTGTGTCTTCCAGGGTGTCACCTGGGGGACACGCCATGACAATTTGGCTCTCATTGTTGATTTTAATTTGATTACCTAACGGAAGTGTAGTTACATTTCTCTACTGTTCCAGACTGTTTTCTCCACAAAACTATTATGTAACCTAGGGTAATGGGGTGTGAACTCAAGTGCTCTACCACTTGAACCACACCTCTTACAGTTTTTAAGCTGTAGTTATTTTTCAAAGAGGATTTTGCCTTTATGCCTGGCCAAAATGGACAGTGCCCCTCCTGTTTATACCTCCTGCAAAGCTGGGATGGTAAATGAGAACTGTCACATAGAGCCTTATTTAGTTGACATGGAGGTCTCCCTGTCTTTTTGCATGGGCTAGACTTGAACCCCCCCAATGGCTGAGATTACAGGCATGAGCCACAGTACCTGGTCCAATTCAAGTCTTTTTAAGAGAATTTCTATTCTACATATTGATTCTGTGTATTTATTTTTATATATTTATGTTTTCTGCTGCTTGTCTTTCTGTCACATCTACAAGCACTTTTTACCCTTTTCACTCCAAGTTGGGACTTAGCACAGTACCTGCTTCACAGTAAGGTCTTAGTCAGGGTTTGTAGAAGGGAGAGAGATGGCAAACACATAGGAAGGAATGGGAAGTACCATTCTTCTGTTAATTCAAAACCAAAGTAAAATAAAACAAGAAAGTAAGGGATGGAATGGACCCGTGTCTAGGATCACAGGAGCCCTGGGGAAAATGTATTCACTTCACAGTGTTCTGGGTTAGTTTAATATGATACAAGGTTCTTTATCTTTGGGGAGTGAATGAAGTGTGGTATTTGGTGTGAGCAATGCTGTATTTCCCCATAGTTCAGTCCTTGACAGGCATGTCTCTGATTTGGAAAGGGAAGTGGTGATAGCTGTCTGTGTAAGGAAAAGAAGGACCAGAAAAGAAAGTGTGTGGCTTCTTGAGGCCAGCGGTTATGCATATGTAGAGCTTCACTGTGGCCTCAGCGTGACCACACTGTGATTTGGTTACTTAATATTCCCTCTGCACCATTCAGGAAGAGAGTGGCATCCTTCCATGTAGTCTTGTGTGGATTCACCGACTGTTGGTTGAGTACCTGGGTGAGGATCGGCTTCGTGTTGGTGTGGAGGATGGGAATGTGAAAGGATATCAGATGATCCTTGGTTTTATGAGGTCTTACAAATTGTAGAAGGAAGATGTAAATTGTAAAAACAAATGGAGAGAAAAATGTTTGCCTGTCTGCCGTTGTAAGTCTGTTTTATGGTCTGTTAGAGTTGGAGAAGGATAGAGAACTTAAGGCGAGGAGTAAATGTAGACGTTTCGGCCAGGTTGAGGGTGGGGATCTGTCGTCAGGAGATGGTGTCCTGCACCGTAATGGGGTTTGCTTGCAATCCTGTAACTGTGGGGACTGAGCCCAAGCCTGAGCCAACATTAGGGAGTAGGTCACAATCAGCACCCCATCCCATTATGTGCCCTCAATATACATTCAAAGACAATCCACAACAAGTGTGGATAACATGGAGAAATGCAATTCAGGGAGAAATGCAAATTTCTTGCTCATTCAAAGAAGTCCTAACAAATGAGGGAGAGTACTGAGGGGCAATAGGAACAACCAGAGGAAAGAGCCTGGTGCTACTTGTGAGCATTTGTCACGGGCCCTTTAACTGAAAAGAAGCATGATAACTTCTTACTCTTAAGACTAGGGTTTTTTTTTTCCCTTGTTGTGTTGAAGTTGGGAATAGTTTTAGTACCATCAGCAATGACTAAGATGAGCATCCTAAATTTATACTCACTTCATGGTATGTATGAAGCGATTTATCCTCATAGTCCCTAAAGTATTAGGGTGAGTCCCTGAGGTTTTTGATCACTTCATAAAGAAGGCAGGTCTGGGAAAATAAGTTGGGGTATGCCTTGTATTTTTCATGCTGCTTTTCTAGAGCCCTGCCCTCAGCTACTGCTCCTCACCTTTGCTTTGGCCTGCCTAGACCATCTGGCCACCTTCGTAGACTCAGGAGCCCCATAATTAATAGCCACTTCAAAATCTTTAGCTCATGCTCCCACCCCCGATTGCTCCTGTTTTTCCCCCCCCGTATTGAAATTTCATCGCCATGCCCCAGGAATTTGTCATTCTATGCATGGTGACGTTGAAGCTGTCTGCTTCCTCTTGAGCCACTCCTGAATGCTACCTCCCACCTGCTCATCTCTGCTGGAAGACCTGGCCAATTACAAGGACTGCATAGTTTATTAGAATTATTTTTTAATCACTCTTGGCCAAAGCAACCTGATGTTGATCTGATCACGTGATATTTGCCCAGGTTATGGGGCAAATATGGAGCAAAAGCTCCCTCCCTCCCTCCCCCGTCATGTGATTTGTGAATTTGGAGTGACTACCTTGAACCATTTCTAAACACCCATAATTAAATATGAAGACGAGCCGACAGGCAGTTTGGTACCCTATCTAGGCTCTACCTATCTAGGCTATACCCTACCTATCTAGGCTCATGTTCACGGATACTTGGGAATGAATTCTTTATCCTGACAAATCCTTGTATTAGTTTGTATGATGCTTTAGATAGTTGTTGTTGTTGTTACACAACTGCTACACTCATAGAAAATGTGAGTGTAACATACTTAGCTACTTAAAGTAACATATAAGTTAATTCAGTGTGTATTTATGGGGTGGGATGGATGTTAGAGAAGATACAGTTCCTGCCCCATCATTTTCATATGCTAATGGAACATGCCCTCCATTTTCTCTTCCTTAAGGAGTCACATGATCTAACATTACAGAGTAATGGGAGCCAGTATTCACCAAATGAGGTAAGTTTTTAAGGAAAACTGGTATTCTGTGAAGACTATATTGTAATATCTTTATTTATTTATTTATTTTGGTCCGGTCGTGGGGCCTGAACTCTGGGCCTGGGCACTGTCCCTCAGTTCTTCAGCTCAAGGCCAGCGCTCTACCACTTGAGCCACAGCGCCACTTCCAGCTTTTTTCTATTTGCTTATGTGATGCTGAGGAATTGAACCCAGGGCCTCATGCATGCAAGGCAAGCGTTCTACCACTGAGCCACCTTCCCAGCCCCCTGGAATATCTTTAAATTGTTATTTTTATTATCTTTATAACTAATTGTTCAAAGGAGTTACAAGTCAACAGATCAGGTTATAAGTACAGTGCATCTTGATTGATGACACAGGTATGAATACCTTGTACAAAAATGTATTATTAACACTGATTAATGAGTTAATGAAGAGTCTCTTGAGGACTTTTACTAGTTGTTCCCTCTCATTAGCTATCAGAGTGTTATCTGGCCCTATTCCTAACGAATTAATTTTTATACCAAATATTTTGACAAAACCCAGTGTAAGAACATCACAAAACCACAGGTAGGAACATCATTAAGGAAAATAGAATGAAAATCTCACAAATAGGCATCATTTAGAAAATTCTCGTCCTTCAATGTTTGGCCTGTAGCTCCAGAGACTTGTTCATGTTACCTGTGTCCTCCTCTCTTATGTGTTCTGAGAGTCCTCAGTAGAGGCTCCTCTTCGGGACATAGGTGCACACCCATGCAGGTCCACAGGTATGATGGAGGAGAAACAGACTGTAGTGTCATGCCACTGTAAAATATATTCCTAATGTGCAATTCACAAATTGAATTTATTGGCCTACAGTAGCATTCCATTGATTATGCCAAAGCGATTTGTTTTTTAGCATCAAGTATACAAAGAGTGGGTTTATACTAATCCCTGACCCTACCGAGCCTTACACGGTTTTTCAGTTTTATTCCTAACTTTTCTCTCCTTCTGATCTGACAGATGAGAGAGAACTCCCCTACGGTCTCTCCTACCACAAACAGCACACCTCCATTCGGCCTGAAGCCCCGCTCAGGTACTGTAGATCATCCTTCTAACTACTCTTTAGGCTTTTCAGTTTGTTTGTGGTGAATGCAATCATTGTTGATCCTGCTGAGTTGGGATCCTGGAACCAGATCTCTACCACAGCTTGGGGAGGTCAGAGATTGGAGTGAACTAACTGTGCAGTCATGCAATTAGGAATAAATAGCTTTCCTTCTTTTGGATCAAAGAAAGGTAGAGCAGTGGTTGGAGCATGTAAGTGGGGAAGAAATATTGAACTCTTTATCCAAAGAAGATAGGCTACCTGCCCTTTGTTCCCTTGGTTTCTGGTTCTCTGCTGAGTTAAAGAGCAGCCTGGGACAGGGATTCCCAAAGAGAGAGATCTCTAGTAGCTAGTGAACATGGCAGGACCTGTGTATTTCCTTGTGTAACAAGGTGGTCATTTGTAAGAGTAGGCAGTATTTATTACAAAACAACAACAACAAAAACTTTTGGAGAAGCATTCAGCTTTTTGACCTACTCAAAAAAGGACTAAATTATGCAATCAAAATAACTTGATTTTAAAAAGGACTCTGAATAGAAAACTGTTTCTTCTAAATTGTCCAGTTATTTAGACTTTCAGTGCTTTCTTCTAGGACCTTTTTTTTTTTTGGTCCAGTCATGGTGCCTGAAGCCCTCAGCTCTTCAGCTCAAGGCTAGCACTCTACAACTTGAGCCACAGCGCCACTTCCGGCTTTTTCTTTGCTTATGTGGTGCTGAGGAATCGAACCCAGGGCCTCATGCATGTAAGGCAATCACTCTACCACTGAGCTACCTTCCCAGCCCCTAGGACCTTTTTTTTTTTTTGAAAAAAAGAAAAACTACTTTGATATTCATTGCTAATACAAATGTTTAGGAAGTCTTAATGAAGTTGGCAGTAAACTCCAATGTTTGTAGATTTTCCATAAACGCATTTTGACATCTGTAATGTCAAGTTTGAAAAAAATGTACCCATGGAGAAAGCAGAGATGATTCATTAATAAAGGAAATAGTTTTGTGAAATGTTTCCTGGCAGTTTGTAAGAAAAAAGCCATTTGAAAAGAAAATTTTTTGTGGGTTTTATGTATGTCTTATTTTTTTTCTCCTTTTTTCCTTTTGCATCAGTCCCAGGGTTTGAACTCAAAGGCCTTGAGCTCTCAGTGGGCTTTCTTACTAATGTCTGGCCTTCTACCACTTGAGCTATGCCTCCAGTTTCAGTATTTTACTGGCCAGCTTGGCTGCAAATTGGGATCCTCCTGGCCTCAGCCTCCTGAATAGCTAAGATTTACAGGCTGAGCCACTGGTATCCATCTTGCTTTTGCCTTTTTTTTTTTCCCAGTGCTGAGGATGGAACCCAAACCCACACACATGCTAATACCACTGTCCTACATCCCCACACCTCAGTCTGTGTGTCACTACAGAGCCTAAAATTGTACATGGTTAGGCTCACATGGCCAGCCCTCATGTATACAAAACGAATCGACCAGATCTTGTTTTGTTTCTGCCCTGTGTCTCAAGTGTGTCCCGGGAGGAGGGGAGGTGACTTGCAGTACAGCTGCTCTGGGCCTTCAGACTTCACCTCTCCTGTGAGGTCCAGGAGACTTGACTCTGGGCACTGAGGATTCATCTTAGGCTGAAGACTGCGTTGTAATCCTTCTAGGCAACGATTTCAAACTAATTCATAAGTAATATGTCAAAAGCTGAATGAGTCTCCAGTTAGTGTTGAACGTCTATTTTGCAGCTTCGTTGTAAAATTGTTTAAGTTTAAAATTGTTTAACTCCTTTTCTAGAGCCTCACTTTAACTTAGCAAAATCAAGGGTTACCAGGTACTTGTTTTGTAAAGCAGATCAAGTGGTTTCTTGGTAGGAGAGAGCAATAGTGGCGTGTGTACCTGGGAGAGCAGGAAAGGAAGGCTACTTCCATCCTCACAGTGTTCCATGAGCCAAGGTAGAAATGGTTCTAGTTCCCGAAAGCCTCGTAGAGTTTGCTTGGTGTAAAAGTAATGTGGATATGTCTTCAGGAATATCAAGTGACATATTGGAGGTTTAGAAATCTAGCATTGTGTATTGGAATTTCATTTTCTTTATTTAGTCATTTTAAAATATGACAGTATGTATTTTTCATATATTAGATGAAATAATACCTATGGTGATCTCTATTGGAGACCATATGGGTAAGAAAGATATATACCACTTTTACTTTTGGAGTTACTTAAAGCAAGTTAATTTTCTTGTTCTTTTTGTTGTTGTTGTTAGTTGTGGGGCTTGAACTCGGTCTGAGCACTGTCCCTGAGCTCTTTTTTGCTCAAGCCTAGCACTGTTTGAACCATAGCTCCACTTCCAGTTTTTGAGTGGTTAATTAGAGATAAGAATCTCCCAGAGAATTTTCTGCACCAACTGTCTTTGAACTGGGATCCTCAGATCTCAGCCTCCTCAATAGCTAGGATTATAGGCGTGAGCTACCAGCGCCTGGTTTAGCAAGTTAATTTTCATTTTCTTTGTTTACTTGTCAGACTGAGGGGATCATATACAGGGCTTTGCAAATGCTTGGCAAGTGCTGTACCACTGAGCTACATCTTCAGCCCTGAATACTTTTTATTTAAAATGTAAGTGTGTGGGTGTAGATGACTTCTGTTTTAAGAGTAAAAGGAGATTGTTTAACTCAGCAAGTTAGAATAATTTAGTCTCTTTAAATAAATGAACTGTTCACTTGACAAGGAACATTTTTGTATGATTTCCTCCCAAAGCATGATAGGGCACATACCCAAATACCTGCTTGTAGGAGAGGTTGATTAATTTTACTTTAGTTGCCCTGTCTTATGGTTGAATAAAATGGTTCTTTTTTTTTCTTTTTTTTTTCTTTTATGTCTGTCATGGGGCTTGAACTCAGGGCCTGGGCACTGTCCCTGAGCCCTTTTGCTTAGCTCAAGGCTAGCACTCTACGACTTTGAGCCACAGTGCCACTTCCTAAATATAATATAGCTACTTCCTAAATATAAGTATCGTAAATGAGTGTGAAAATTACTGTGGAGATATTTAGTGCAAAAATAAGATGTTTTAGTTTCACAAATGACTAGTTCAGAGGCTTTTGAAATTGTTATCTACATACTGGATTTATTGTTAAATAGACTCTACTGTGGTACTAAGGGCCCTTTCCTCTGTTTGTTTTTTTTTGCTCATGGTCACACCTCTACTTCCTGGCTTTTTGCTAGCTAATTAAAGATAAAGTCTTGCAGAGTTGTTTGCCAGGCAGGCTTTGACCTTGATTCTTAGATCTCAGCCTGTTGGATAGGATTATAGATGTCAACCATAGGTGCATAGATGTTTGATTGTTTTTTACTGAACAATGTTGGAAACTAGATTGTGAGTCTTAAGTCAAGGATTAAGGAAGAGTTAGGGAGACTCATCTCTGATTAACTCATCCCAAAACACTGCAATGTCTTTAGAAAGAAATTCTGCATTGCCTTGTGATGGGGGAGGGGAGGAGAAGCCATTAAGAGAAATAATACTCTGTAATAGTTTTTACTTCTAAACGGTTGATACGTTCACGAACCTATTATGCTTTGTCTTAATGTAACCAAACTTTTGTGTGTATCATGTGATCATGTTTGCTAAGAGGGATCATGTTTTAGGACGTGTTTGCAAAAAGAATCAGTCAGGCCTTTGCCTTTTAATCTGCATAACCTATGGGTACTTTCTCCCAACTCTGTATCTTCTGAACTGTTAAGATTAGCAGTATGAATTGCATGCAAAGTAACTCTGCCTGATGATTACTAACACTCAGTTTTTTATCATTCTTTTTATTCCATGCGTCATCTGTCATTCTCCTATATTGTACATTTGAAATTAAATCCCATTGTAAACGAAACCCACTTCATTTCCATACGAACCTTATGCCATATGTGAAATGCTGCGGCCCCCTTTGGTTTTCCCCGGTCCCTGTGCACCTGTCCGTGGCCTGGCTCTCTCGCTCTCCTGCAGACCCAGCCCTCATTCTCCCTCCTATCTCCTTCAACAAACTTACGCAGGCACAAACATGGGACAGCTCTAGCTACAGCGTTCCATCTGAAGGAGACAGTGACAATGGTAGGTGACTTTGAACATCTTCCTCCTTGTTCTCATTAATAAACCCGTGAATATTCTGGGCCTTCCTTTGGCCTCAGCTGGAGATGAAGTATATTCACTTGCATGCTTGACACCCAGGAAGCTTGGGCGGTGAAGTCCAAACACGCATGTGGATTGTTCTCGAAGTTGGTCAAATGATAGTTTTAATTATCTTGGCTGTTCTAAATGTGGGGAGGATATTATTGCTTTCTTCTCTGCCTGTTCTGCTTGGGTTTGGGGTTTGTTTGCTTGTCTGTAAAAGTGGGGGGTTTGCTAACTTTGCTTGCTTTGAGACCTGTAGTAAATGATTTAAGAGTTGGCTCTTTTATTATCTCTGCTTATGACACGAGATTTTCAAGGTAATCAAAAGCTGCTCTGGCTGATCCAAGAGCCTTCCACTGATAGTAATTATGTTAACATTGAGAAATGTCTAAAAATGGCATCAGTGCCCTTTTGCTTTTCAAACTACCTGCATGTTTTGACTTTGGATACCTTCTTTGAGTGTAAAGTCTTAAGAGTAGCAGGTTAGTCTAATAATCTTATGAGTAAATGAAAAATGGAGGACACTTAGGACTTATTCTAATTTTGTGCCATTAGATACCTTAAGTAATCTAATAGATTAAACAAAGAATAAGTACAATTATTAAACTCTCCATACCACATATATCTAAATTTTTGTCCTGGGCTAATGCCAGTTCAGCTCATTTTACTTTAAATACAGTGGTAGCTGCAGCGTTAAATGAAACAGAATAGGATTTATTTGGAAGCAAGTGAGATGTGAGATAGAGCCATGGTCAACACATAACTAGGAAGATACATTGTCTGAATATTCTTTTTTAAATCTTACACACACACACACACACACATACACACACACACGCACACACACATTTGTAGATTTGTCTTTAAAAT